AGAAGCCGTCAAAGTCTCTGCTAAAACTGAGCAGGGACAGAGACAGACTCCTATTAACATTCATTCTGCATAACTTAATCAGATATGAAGACTTTCTACGATAGCAGCATTTGCCAACGCATGGGGAACAAACGGTCACGCTCCATTTCTCTTCAAGGTTTTCGATTCCAGTGTGTCAGCTTGGCAAGACCAAACATTCCTCGTATTCACAGAGCGTCACTGATTTTACTTTACAGGCTTCATTAAGTTCAAAAACAGAGGGCGAAGAAGCTACTGTGCAGGCTTTATGTAAACCAAAGGCAGTAAGCTACACCGAGCGGTTAGGAGAACCGTCAGCGTTTACCTTTGATTTTTGAGAAAGTAGTGCTTGGCACATTGTCTGTTTATTAACAATCTCTGTAGATGGATGTCCATAAGAGAGAAGAAGTCAAACATCCTGGATGAAAAGCTTACGAACAATTGATTCTAGTGGAGGGTTTAGTTGAAGAAAAACACACACTTTTAATGACTGAGTGGAGAGTTTTCCATCTCATTGTAATCAGATTCTGAACCGTCACACACTCTTGTCAAATTTACCGACTTTCATGCATTCCTATAGCATTCCTACGTGAAGGAGAGACAGAAGCCAGACTCGACTCGGCCGACTGCGTATGAATTACGAAGGATAACTGGCTGTAGTAATGAGTCATGAAAGGAAACCGGTGCATCCGCTCCCACGTTGAGTTGATCTCCATGCCAAAGCCATGTGGTTCACGCCGGAGCGAACGAGCGCTCGTTAAACCACGAAGCTCGTTTTAATCAATCACTCCAGAAAGCTCAGCATGCTAACATCAACATCAACCGCAGAAACGTCAGAGCAGACCTGCTCAGTCCTCAGCTGGCCTGATTTCACTGGTTGGCACGCCCACTGTGTACGTCTCCTGGTTCGCTTTGTATTGAATTTGAGAGTTTGCCAGAACGAGCCTGTTGATGAGGTTAAATGATGCTGATCGTAAACAGACCAACGAACCATCTGTCAATGTGAGGGACGGATGAGAGACCCGGCAACGCTCCTGGCAACGGCTGATTCGGCTTCATATACAGTAGCAGAACAAATAAACATCAAATGAAACGTTTTCTCTGGGAGCTTCATTTCCTCCACTGTGTTCAATTCACAGTTTGGCATGTGGGAATAATCTGTACTGTTGCCTGCATGTGTTGTGAATTATTATTAATGTACATAAAACAACTTAATAGCTGCACCATGCAGATGTTTTAAACCAAGTCCAACTTTTGAAAACTTAGTGGAAACCTTTCGAAATGGTTCACAGGGGATTTTGGCTTCTTTTCCCTGATTTTTAGGAACATTGAGAATAGTTTGGTTGAAATGCGACAAGCGGAAAAGTGGAGGAGAAAGTGGGAAATATCAAAGACTTCTTCAGTAATTTTTCTGTTAAACGATAATTGTGATTTGAGACAATTTTCAAGTAGTATATTGATAAAACCACACGCAACCAAAACCATAAATAAAGTTGATTACAAAGTCATCAGAATGGAAATTATGAAGCTCTTTTCAATTTATAATGCGATTTAATTGATTAATTGATTGTTTATTACGACAGGCTTAGTAAAAACGTGATTAAATCTGCCAAGCTGGGTTATAAATGGCATTTTTTTCATAAATCTAACTTAAAAAGGTAACGTGTTGTATTTTTGTAGCAAGAAATTGTGTTTTTATTGTCAAAATGTTGAACATAAATCTCTGTTTTTATTTTTTTGTCCTCCAAAAAACACATTTGGACTTCAGATATGAATTATTAATGGCACCAGAATATAATATTTGAAAAAAAAATCTACATAAACGCCACTGAATTGAGTGTTTTCTAAATCCTAACGAAGTCAGAATAGCTTGCAGCATAATTACAAAAGGCAGACAGTATTCTGGAAGTTGTTGGATTCATTTCCAAAAACTGCAATTATATTTCTCTTTAAGATGTCCATGTTCTTATTATACGCTCATTACGCCTCAGAAACGGCATCAAACTGCCATAAAACACACCAGAATAGACGCTGAGAAAGAAGTGACATTTAAAGCCCCTGGAGAGGGGGTAATTATGTTTTATCACACTGGGCATCCCTTAAATAGGTCTGCCTCTCGGCTGGATCTGTGTTTATCATCCGAGGCCCGGCAGAGAAAGGCACCACTTTACGGTTTATTATTTGGGGTAGCTGTGTTTTGCGCTGTTTATTATGCGGTTTTAATTGCGGTTTGGCTGCTTTCTTTCGCCTCTTCCAACAGAGGGGAAGGAATGCCGGAGGCTGCAGCTTCCCTGCAGGACGTTGGGCTGCGCTGGGAGTCCCGCTGACCCGCTTTTACCCCTAGATTGAGTTTCAGCAATGACAGAGGAATATTTAAGGTCCACAGTATGGATTTATTTTCTCGGATTAGTTTGTTCCGGCTTGAAAAAGTGAGCAGATCTCATGTGGGATTTCAGGAATCCTGTCAAATTGTTGACCCTTTTAACTCCCAGCAGGTGCCAAACCGCCGTCGCCTCCCAGTCCGACACTCAAAATCTCACCGAATTACTCCCTCTGATGTTTGTCTAAGAAACGAACCTCCTCCTTCATCCCTAGGGGTCTCCCTGCATATGGTGCTCCACCTTGCCAAACTCATTCCTTCGCCTCTGCGATGATTTCTGACTCCAACACAAAGCAGCATCCCCTGGCTCTTCCCCCGATGAGCCAAATCAAAGCAGGAATGTGAACTCACACCTGATGTTGGCCTTTAAAGCTTAAAAAAACATCCTCATTTTGATTTGTTCCCTGCTGCTCTCACCCCAAAATTACCCCAAAAGGATCACCTGATAAATTTAAAACAAGGAAATGCATGTTGTGCAGATACACGGCCATAAAAAACAAAGGGCAGAGCTTGTTGATGAGTTATCTACTGGTAAGGAAAATAAACGTAATTCAACCCACGTTCAGAAAGCAAACTGAGCCTCCGAAACCAGCTCTGACATTTTAAACGGTCGATCAGAGACTCAAACGACGCAGAAACAGTGCAGGTACAAAGCTTTGGGAAAGTATTAGCATCACTTTTACACTTTAAGTTACATCACAACCACAACTTGAATGTATTTTAATCGATAGCTCAACAGAAAGTAGGTCAATTCAGCCAACATGTATTTGTATTCAGCCTGCTTTCTTTTGATACCCCTAATTAGAATCAAATGCAATCTATTAACTCTCAAAATAGCACATAACAGCACTCCACCTGTTTGTGATTTAATCTCTGCTCCAAATCAAAAGATTACCTCATTATGCATTAAAGGGAACAAACAATTTAATGAAGGCCAGGGAACATAGCCTGGTAGGTCAGGAGGATAGGAAGTTTGAACATGGCAAGGAACCGTTTCATTGTATCCTCTGGAAACCCGACTGACCACAGGTTTATGGGCTATAAAAAACAATGCTAATTACAATTTATAAACAAAAACATTCTTAGATAATGAGATTTCAGGCTGGTCTATTCTACCTATTTTTGGGCTCCTATCAGAATGAGCCATTTTTGGGTCTTTGTCACTTTAAATCCAAGCAAGCTGCTGCTAGCTGCTCTCTACAACTCAACATACAACGTAGATCTTTGAAAAGCAGAAGTGGAGCCTTCTGCACAACAAACAAGAACACAGCGAGTTGTTTCTGGATGGTAAGTCAACAACAAAACACTTGTCTTTTCCAACAGCCATTGTACAGCGGTAAAACCAGCTGACCAAACGTGCTGGAGCTCATCTGGGGTTGCTAGGTAACAGGGTTGCTAGGTGAGGGGCACTGCCTGCCGGATGTATCAAATGTTTCATTTTCCAGGCACCAAAAAACATCACCTTCTTGCCAAAAACTGTGGCTTGTTTTTTTTTTTTTTTTTGCACTTGGGTTGTTTTTAGGAGTAGAAACTCAAATGGAAGTAAAAATAAAACATTCAAAATGTGAATTTTTTCACAATACATCATCTTTAGAGCAAAAAAAAAAAGTTTTTTCTTTTACTTTTTAACACACTTTGCCAGTTTTCTGCCTGGTTACTCTTAATAATTGCCACTTACTCAACAGAGTCCCAACCTGTGTTATGGACTGTTACACTACGTGCCGATCCAAATGAGACAAAAATGTATCTGTGCACGCTGCATTGAAAACAAAATTCTCAAAAACTTCCCTACTTGTACTAAACAGATGCCTGTTTAGTCCATGATCTATGCATCTATGCACAAACACTTTAATATTTATTGCAAAAAAAAAAAAAAAAATCACAAAAAGAATCACGATGTCCTTGAGGGACTGAAAAGATGTTCAATAATAATATTGATATTTTAACAATTTGTGAACTGGTTTCATCAATACATTCTGGCACAACCGGCCCTTTAAGAGCATCCATGATCTTGATTTGGTCAAAAACAAAAATGAGACACACATCATGAGTTTAAAAAGAAAAGAAAGAAAGTTAGAAGGTCCAGCATGGAGGAACCTCAGCAGAGATTCAACTTCATACAGCAGCGCTTTGCTAACCGAGAGTAGAAACCCGACTCACCGACAGACACAGCCTCTTGGTTCTGGATTATCCACAGTGAAGCTAATCAAACATCTACTTCCTCACTTCCAGAAGGACGTGAGCGTCAGACCCTTTCATCAGGATGGATTCAAGCCAACATGCTCCGATTTCAAGGAAATTTCATTAAAATTCCATGAATATAATCTTGTGTCAAACCTAAAGAATCAGAACCAGAGGCAGCAGCAGTGCAGAGAGCTGTGATTAAAGCTCAACTTGGAACAGATCCAGGGAGGTTCTGACAAGCGGCACCGCTTCCCTCCGAGGTTGTAGATTTGGTCAACAAGACAAAAGGAAGGGCAGGGTTTGGCTCTAAGTCAAGAGTCAAAGACAGGACTTTGATCAGAAAACCAACTTGAAACCTGACATTTTTTACCCTTGGGTAAACCTCTACGCTGATGATAAACTAGTTTATTTCTCTTACCTCCAAAGGACAGGAAAATTCTTGGCACAGGCTGAGGTAGGCTGGAGACAGAGCTGATGAGGAAGAGGAGAGCAAGGAGGGAAAGCGCCATCGCTGACCCGGCCGACCCCTCCGGCCTGCCGTCGTCTTCACCTCTCAGAAAACGACCCGCCACCGCCGCCTGCAGGAGAGGCTTCACAGAGGACAGCAGGTCTGAGAAAACGATTTAATTATGCAGAGATTATGTACAATATTCTCAAAAAACATATTTATATACCACCAATTGTGGCAAAAACAAATGTTTTCTAATTTTTCTTAAATCAATATGTAATGAAGTGTGTGAATGTCTGCGTGAATGACTGATTTAACTGTATAAGCAATAAGCAAACAAAAAAGTAAATCCAAAACATCTAATCACAGCTGAAAATATATTTTCCCCAATCAATGAATCATAAATTAACTCTAACCAACACTTTTTTGCTTCAATGACTCAATTGACCTGACTGACAACATGAAGCAGCAGAACTAAAATGTTTTGAAATGGAAATTTCTAACAGTTTGTCATTAAACTGCAGCATGTTGTACATTTTTATAAAACGTACTCTCTGAAAGGGTCAAGGGTCAGCTCTGGAGAAAGCTATTTAGAAGTTGCAGGAGGAAGAAAGGCTGTTTGGACTTTAAAGGTTCCTGACCGCTGGTTCACCCACCAAACGGCCGATAAAACAAAACAAATCAAAGACATTTATAGTAAACTGACCATTTTAACCGTTCCTGGTGTGCACTGGACAGACAAATTTAACTAAAACCCAAGAGTAGAACATCACGTCACTGACTTCACCCTGCTCCAAATGCACCTCTGTTAAATATGAATGAGGCAAATCTACACGAAAAAGAAAACCAGCTGAAGAAGCGCTCCAGCTGCCACTTGTTCCTTCTCCATAACTGGACAAGAGCAGCTCAAATATTGATGGATGCAGGTACTGCTCTGCGCTGTGGGCCGTTATCTCCTGCAGTGCATAACTCTCAACTTGCAGAACAAATCGACTGCTTTATGCTGCTACAGCACCTGTGCTGTACAAACCCACACTGCACCGGTGACCTTCCTGCATGCGAAAAACAAGAAACATGCATTATTTACCGCAGTCTGAATCTCTGATCTCATGACTTATGAATGCGTGGTAAAAAAATTATGACACGAGAAAAGAAAAGTACATAAATGCAATGAAAATTTTAGTTTGGGGGTGTTGTGTACAAATAGGCCGAGGCGTGTGTGTTTGCGTAGCGAAGTGAAGGATGATTGATGGAGAGGCGGAGTGGAGTTTAACTGTTCAGGTGCAACATATGGAAAACTGATGAGGAATGAGATCCTTTTGGCTCAACTTGAGAGCAGTAAAGCAGCACGGGGCGCATTAAGACTGCTGCAGGGCTTACAGCGCAGCGTCAGCTACACACACACACACACACACACACACACTGTGAGTACCTACCCAACCCACAGCTTAGCCCTTCCCCAAAACTAAGCCATCTTTGTGCATTTTGAGATTTAACTGTGACGGTTTTTAAAAACGTGCACGCAATCAGCAATAGTTTAAATTCCCAAAGTTATCAAATTGGCCATAATCATCATCCTTGGTTACTGATTTTATGATAAATATACAAATATTAACCCTTTCATGCATGAATTATGATCCTTTGTGTCAGGATCTTTTCCAATTTATTTATTATTATTTTTTATTTTCTTAAGGCATAATAAAGATACGGGAAACAAATTTCTTTTAGGTGATCAATTGTAATTTTCTCCAAATGCAAAGTTATTTGAAAAATACACCAGTAGTATTTATCTTTTATCTTTAGGGGTTATCTGGAGTCGTCTACAGTAGGAGGAGGGACCGGGTCGGCCATATTGGAGTTAACAAAAATAATTTCTTGCATTTGCAGCTGATGGTCAGTAGTTGATAGTGTATTTTAGTGTCCACTTCAGTGGTCTGTGTGCATTTATGACATAAAAATCCACAAGAAAATGGCTTTTAGAAAGCTGTCCACTGTAGTGACCACTACGCATGAAAGGGTTAAGGACATATCCTTGCTGAAAAGTTACTAAAAAGTAAGTTAATTTTGTCTTATTTCAAATGCAATAAGATGTTTAGAGTAAAATATAGTTGTGCTTTTCTCAGCAGAGAAACTGAGAAAATTGAAAGCTGGACAGGCTGATTACTGAATCAGGAGCAGGTGGTTGATTAGAAACACGGTGCAGCTGCGACAGATAACCACAGCTGAGCTGGGCAGATGGGAGAAACCAAACACCAAAACAAAGTTTCAGATATTATAACGGGGAGCAGCATCCCTGAGTCCAACAGTGACAGTATGGAAAACAAAGCAGACATCCAGTGAGTCACCAGGATTTACTCCCACATTCCTGTCAGGCACAGAGCATCGAAACAATGCAAGAGCAAAACCTGCATCTTCAAACTGCATCAAAACAGGCTCAACTCTACTAATACTGCAAAACACAAAACTTTACCAAGTATTTTTAATTAGTTTTTAGTCCAAATATCTGAAATAAGACAAAATCTTAGTTTTGTCTTATTTCAGATATTTGCACAAACTAGACAAAAAAAATCCTTAAGATTTTGTTTTTCTGCATCTTTGCTCATTAACACTTGTCTAGTTTTTAGTGCAAATCTTTTACTTCACTTGAAATAAGACAAAACTAACTTAGAAGTAACTTTTCAGCAAGATATAGGAACTTGTTTGAAGTAAATTCTTCAATATTGATGGAAAAGTACTTATAATATCTTGTTCTAAGTAAAATAGCTGCCAGTGGACAAGAATGTTTACATCAAAATTAAAGAATTATTGACTATATCTTGCTGAAAAGTTACTTATAAGTAAGTTTTGTCTTGCTTTATGCTTGCAGTAGAACCTAGGTTGTGTTTTTGCAGCGGAAGGCGTTTATGTTAGATGTTTGACGTAAAGCGATCCTCTGGACTGCCGAGCCTGGCTGACACCTACCACTCCCTGCTTGCTCAGAGAGACGGTGATCTCCCAGCGAGAGCGTCTGGCACTGAACTGTTGGTCTCACAGCTGCTGAACTCATCATGGTGGGAGTTCATCTCCCGAGCGCTCGGTGACGTCCCGCCGGCTCCAGTTCAGACACTTTCAAACCTCACATCAGCAGGCAGGCATGAGGTCCTGTCCGCCCTGAAGGCACCGCCGATAAAAGGTGCATTACCGTTTGAGCAGAGATAATAAATACTCCAATTAATTCAGCCGAAAAACTCGCCTGCCAGGAATCTCTGCAGCATCAATTAGATGTCTATGCACAAAGGAGATTGCTGCTGCGATGGATATCGTGTTTTCTCTGGAGGGTGGTGATAATTGTGTTTATTATCTTCTGTCCTTGGCTTTCGGCCCAATGAGTTTTCCATCAGAGGAGCTGCTCATAAACCCATATTGTGGAAGACAAATTCCTTTTCAGAATAAATCTTTGTGTCCAGGGATCCCATCTGCTCCCAGTTATGTTTTTTACACAATTCAGGGCATCCCTCTTCTCCCCCCATCTGGCTTTTTGTGTGTGAAGAATTGAACTTTCAGTGGTAAACAAGTTGCTCTGTGTCCCGGCTCTAACAGGACAGCGCGTGTTCATACCACACCCTGTCAGTCAGTTGTCAGTGGGGTTGTTGCAGCCGCACGCGCCTGAAAACTCATGACTGAGCAGCAGCTACGGTTATAGATTCAAACTTTCTTTCATACCAACTGATTAGGTAACTTGTTAGGTAATAAAAACAGTAAAGGTTTGCTGAAATGTCTTCAGAAGGCCTTTAAAAAGGTCACGATTGTGTGGCCAAGCAGTGAGTCATTCTGGAAAATCATGCAGCGCTTAAATATGAAACAGGACTCCGACGTTTAAAAGCAGCACAAAGTGATTCTATCTCAGCCAGATTAAGTTTTATTTCCCAGTGGTGGGACTCTGCACCTGTTCGCCAGCGGCCCACCAACTTCCCTCTGCATCCAGCAGGAAACGACACACCGCAGAGAGTAAAGGTCCGGGAAGAGGGACTCACCTTCCAGGGAAGAGCCCGTCCCAACCGCAGAGAGGAAGACCACCAAACGAGACCCGAGCTTCTCCCGAAACTCCTCGCCTCAAGTCTCCAACCGTGACGGGGAGAAATCCATCCAAGTGCTCACGGAGCGGGTTCGACTGAGCCAGAACAGGACAGAGGAGAGGAACGAGGGAGGAGGAGGAGGAGAATGAAGAGACGAGTGAGCTGGTGTCCTATTACACTCTCCGCTCATGGCCCCCTCCTCCTTTTCTCCCCTTTTCCTCCCTCCTTCCTTCCACTGTCCCCGCTCTGTTAACTGGAGAGCAAACAGATCACTTTAGAGATCAGAGAAGGACCCAAACCTCACAGAGTGATGGAGACGCATCACAGGTCACATGCATCCATCTCTGCTTTTAATCTGAAAATCCGTCAAAAAAAATCATCTGGTTTTATCTTTTATCTGTCAATCAAGTTAAAGCACATTTCAGCAGCAGGACAAGGAGAAAAACTCAGAATGATGAAGTTATTAAAAAACTTTGAACGAACAGAACATTTGGGTGAATGCTGTCACCAAAATATGTTGGTCAATGTTTTATCTTCATTTCTGGTATCTTAGTAAATTATGATGTATTGAAAAGTCTGTTTGGTAAAGCCAATTTTTTTAAATCCACATTTTAAAGTTGATATTATTGCTACGCCAGTATTATGTTTTCCAGAATCAGTTTATAGCACAATCAGTATCAGTTGTTTAAAAAAAAAAAGCTGTATATATCAAATATGACTTAATAGAAATTTTACAAAGTAATTTAATGCCTTTAAATTGGGCCACTGTCTCTTTAAGAACATTTTTTACTTTCTGAAACTTTCTGGTTCCTCTGTTAACCTGTTAAAGTTTTTACGAGCGTTGCACTGAGAAGCAGCCTGTATAATTAGAGTTTGCTAATTGCTGCTGGCTAGTCTGAAGGACCTCAGAGGAGGAGCTTCGTCCCCAGAGGCGGGGCTAGGTCCACTCAGGCGCTGAATTGTTGCCATGGAGATTAAAAGATTTCTCAAACACGTATTAAAGAATCAAAGCAACTCTTCAGGTATGTTTTTTGATGAGGGAACAACATGATAATATGATGTAAAACTCAAAAAAGTCAATTTTAGATAATAAATGCCGCGTATACAAGGATCCGCCATGGTTTTTTCCCCATTATTAGCGTATCGAATAAAGTGTTGTGCACATTTGTGATGAAAACGCAGCTGCTGCCACCATATTTGAGTCCAGCATTAAAGTCTCCTTTTGGAAGAAGCTTTATAATTTAAATGAAGGCAAACGATCACACTAGCTTGCGCTTGTTAAAGATTATGGATGAACATTACAGGAGTTGGTGTCTTGGCTCCAAACGGAGACATTTTGCTTCCCTCATGCATTCTTTCTAAAACCAGAGTTTTAATTTGAAAGGCTTTCCCTCAGAGGAAGGATGGATTTCATGACTTGAATAAATAAAATTGATCTTTTTTGGCTCCATTGTGGTGAAAGAGAAACGCTGAATGCATCTCAAAGTGTGGAGGAGAGATCCTGGAAAAAACACACGGCTAGAACAAACGTACAGTTAGCATATTTTCTGTGAATGAGCTCACCAAGGAGACCTTGCTCAGCGATACTGAGTCAGGAAACCATGCCAAACCTGCGGCGGCATTCGCTTTTGTGGATTCAGCTGAAGCAGAACCGCTGCAAACCAGGCCTGTTTCACCAGCAAAATGCCCTCCATCCATATTTCCATAAAATCAAAAGCTCTTTGCAGATTTTCCTTCTTCACAGTGTGTGCATGCAGGTATAAGCCAGGAATGGATGTTTTTTTTTTTTTTGTTGCCACATTAGCTTTCAGGGAAAGTTTGTGTTATTTGTGGAAAATAACAAAGCAGTAAAAAAAACCACCAGGTCTCTAATGAAAGTGTCTGACAGCCAGAAAAAAATGAAGCTGAAGGAGGAGGAGAGAGGGGATCACTGGTGGCTCAGACAGGAGGAAATAATTACCCCTCTCCTGCACAAAAGAGCCAGATTTACGCCTCTCCAATTAAAGTGTCAGGATGGGACCACTGGAGCGATGGCGGCGTTTTCATTGGTACGTGAAACCTCGATTGCTTTATCCTCATAGGTGGAGAAGGAGAAGAAAGGAACGAGTGCAAAATTGAGATCAAGCGTATCCTTTACAGCCCCCATGACTCAAACTGGGCTGCAAGTTAATTTAATGAGAGCGGTGAGGTAACGGACTCAGGTGCATCCAGACATAAAGCACAGCTACTCAGACAGTTAGCCATCACGCAATATCTTTATCTGGTTACAAGTTTTAGGGTTTTACTCTCAAATAACAATCTGTCATGAAGTGGTGTGGTTGCGGTGAGGAGAGACGCTGAGACCCAGGTTGTGTTGATGAATAAGATTAATTTAATAATAATAATAAGCTCTCAGTCCAGGACAGGCAGCACGGCAAACGAGCACACAGCTAATACCGGTAGCAACTGACATATGGGACTCACGGGAGCTAGCACAGACTAGGACTAGGCAGTTCAACTGGAAAGTACAAACGGTCTACAGAGAAGCGGGCACAAAACAGGACTTGGCAGTTCTACTGGAATGTCCCAGAAACTTCACCTGAACGACGTTAACAGAGAAACAGAAGACTATAGACATGGACACGACGACGATCCGACAAAGAACACTGACAACAGGTGGGACTAAATACACTGGGAGGGTAATCACAGGAACGACACACAGCTGGGATCAATCAAGACAGACTCAGGGGAAAACAGGACTAGACAGAAACTACACAGAAAACACAGATCCTAACACAATCTGTGTGGCTCGACAAGCTGCGGGTTCATGGATTTTGTGTTTCCAAAGCATGAAATTCTGCTCCTAATTAATCTACTTCCCATCCACGCGCGCCCCTTTGAAGAAGCTGCCCCTCGTTAGCAACGCAGATGTTACGCATTTGTCACAAGGAAGCCAAAAGTCAGAGGAAGGCCTCCCTCCTGCAAAGCTGACTGTTTCATAAGCAGTTTAACAACTAAATAACAACAGATTGCTTTTCATTGAAATGTGTCTCCACTGCTGCAGAAACATTTTTTTTTTTTTTTTTTTTTTTGGAGCAGTGGGATCGGGAGCCGTCAACGACCGAGAGGCAAACAGTTCCCCGAAAAAGGTCACTGATTCTTTGCAACCAAGAGACACAAGATCACCATGGATACAAAGGCACTACAGCAACCATCAAATGTATTATTTTTGGATTTTATGGGAGAAAAAATATTGTAATTACTGTGGAAAACATGCTCTGCAAAACCCCAAAATTTTAAACGATTTTTTGGTTGTTTTCTAAAAGCAAATACACTTGAATTAAAACAAAACTTATAAGTAACTTTACAGCAGTGTTGTGGTCAAGACCACCTAACTCGAGACCAAGTCAAGACCAAGACCAGTGCCCCGCGCTATATGACACGATAACATGTGAAATATGATCAAAATTTCTTCTCAAACTGATCTGAAAGATCCGTATTCCCATAAAAAGACCTAGATATTAAATACTTGATACATTTTACCAATATCAAAAGCAGAACAAACTTTTTGTTCTGCTTTGCTTCCATCTCTGTGCTACAATCCGCGGTGGTCTGGTGCCATCCCGAAAAAGATAACGCCCTGGGCATTTGCTTATATTGCTCATGTCAGAAACCACCACTCTCTGTACCATTTAACATAGCAATTGAGCCAATGCCCTGATGGCAAATAACGCTCAACTATGAACACTGACCAAGGAGCAACAAGCAAGAAGTAACCAAACAGAAGGCGCTCATTGTGACTGTTCTCTCTCTCTCTCCCACTACATGAAGCCAGGTAGTCT